TGGTTGGTTTGCCTCAGGATGCTATCCTGAATTGTTTTATTTCTGGTTTAACGTCTGAGATTCAAAATGAAATTGTTATCCTCAAACCGGTTTCTATTTCCCAGGCGATGGGCCTTGCCAAGCTGATTGAATCCAAAATTAAGGATTCCAAACCTAAATACCACAGACCCTTCCCACCCCCATTACCAAAAACTAGTACGACATCACCAGCTCAAAACCCAAACACACCTGTTCCTAAAACCCCAACACCCCCCCCAACCAGCAAAACTGCCTATCCGACGCCTGTCCAATGCTTAACTTCAAGAGCGCCGCGCACAAGGCTTGTGTTTTAACTGTGATGAAAAATTCATTCCAGGCCATAAATGCTCAACCAGAAAATTTCTACTGTTAATGGTGGACGAGGATGTTGTCCTTGAAGAGGAGTCCACTACAATACCGGAAACCATTTCACCAACCCCAGAAATCGAAGACACATATTTTCAACTATCTCCACAAGCAGCAAACGACCAATTTTCACCAAAGACACTGAAATTTAAAGGCCAAATTCACAGCCTCACGGTGTCAGTTTTAATTGATATAGGCAGCACCCACAACATTCTCCAACCGCGTATTGCCCATCATCTACGCCTAACCACCAACCCCATTCCCAATTTCTCTATTATGGTTGGAAATGGCTCCAAACTATCCTGCTCAGGACTCTGCCCACAAGTCCCTATAACCCTACAAAACCACCTTTTCACTATTACTTTCCACCTAATACCAGTTGAAGGCGCCGACGTCGTTCTTGGCATGGAATGGTTGCGCACCCTTGGGCCGCTCCTTGCGGATTTTTCTATCCCCAAAAATCTCTTTTACATACCAGACCACCGAAATCACCATCACAGGGGACCATAAATCCCCTCCCTTACACTCTTCTTACAACCATATCTACCATCTACTCCAAACAGACTCCATTGCCTCTATCCACTTACTTTTATATCAACCACCACCCGATCCCATTTCCCTCAATTCAACCAACAACCCCCATTCCCTTAATTCATTCCCTACATCACTTCCCCAACAAATCACCACTTTACTACACTCATTTGCAGCCATTTTCAACCAGCCGCACGACCTACCTTCCCCAAGGCCTCATGACCACCACATACCTATTATCCCAAACAGCCCACCGATCAATGTTAAACCGTACCGATATCCTCATTCTCAAAAGGACACCATGACTACAATCATTAACGACATGCTACACGAAGGGATCATTAAACCTAGCAACAACCCTTATTCCTCCCCCGTTCTTCTAGTTCACAAGAAAGATGGGTCGTGGCGATTTTGCGTAGACTATCGTGCTTTAAATGTTGTAACTATTAAGGACCGGTTTCCAATCCCCACAATTGATGAACTCTTTGATGAGTTGGGTTCTGCCACTATATTCTCTAAGATTGATTTACGCTCGGGTTACCATCAGATAAGGGTTAACCCAGATGACACTCACAAAACTGCTTTCAGAATGTTTGATGGTCATTATGAGTTTTTGGTCATGCCTTTTGGCTTGACAAATGCTCCAAGTTCATTTTAGTCTGCTATGAATGATTTGCTTCGCCCATATTTACGCCGGTTCATTTTAGTGTTCTTCGATGATATTTTAATTTATAGTTCCAACATTGCTGACCGTGCTATTCATTTAAAATTAATCTTAGAATTACTTTTGTCTAACCAATTTTATGTGAAGCTTTCCAAGTGTTGATTATTTAGGCCATATCATTTCACGTGAAGGCGTCACCCTTGATCCAGCTAAAATTCAAGCTATTCTTGATTGGCCCAAGCCACGATCACTCAAGGCTCTCAGAGGATTCTTAGGCCTCAACGGATTTTAGCGATGATTTGTTCGTCATTATGCCACTCTCGCCGCTCCTCTCACCGATTTGTTACGTTCCACTAAGTTACTTTGGAGTACAGCCGCGGAATCCGCGTTTACAACATTGAAACAACACATGATAACTACTCCTATCCTAAGTCTCCCAAATTTCTCTCAAATCTTCATCTTGGAAACAGATGCTTCAGCAATTGCTATTGGAGCTGTTCTTTCTCAGCAGGGTCATCCTTTAGCTTTCTTCAGTAAAAAGATGTGCAACCGGCTTCAGGCTTCCTCCATCTACATCCGTGAAATGTACGCCATCACGGAAGCTGTAAAGAAATGGCGCCAATATTTGATTGGTAGACACTTCCATATTTACACTGATAAAAAAAGTTTGAAGAATTTGTTAGTTCAAACCATTCAGACACCTGAACAACAAAAGTGGGCTGCGAAGTTACAAGGATTTGATTTTGAGATCTTTTACAAACCTGGCAAATCTAACCAAGTCGCCGACGCCTTAAGTCGCATTCACACGGACGAAGCCGCCATGTTTTTCTCCATTTCTTCTCCCATCCTTCAACTCCTTTCCCAACTGAAGCAGTTCTACACAGATCAAACAGCAGGACAAACCCTAATAAGAAGCCTGTTATTTGATACTCAACATCCAGTTCTATTTCAACAAAAAAATGACTTATTGTACTTCAAGGATATAATCTTCATACCTGACGTTGACAACTTGAGGCAGAAAATCTTGACAGAATACCACTCAACACCAACTGCTGGTCACTCGGGACTCCAACCCACTCTTGCTAGAGTTTCTAGTGATTTTCTCTGGCCTGACATTTACAGAGATACAAAGGAATTCATTAGAACATGTTCAGTCTGTCACACAAACAAATATAGTACAAGGAAGAAACAGGGACTTCTTCAACCTCTTCCCATACCAAATCAAGTTTGGGAAGATCTCACTATGGATTTCATTACCCATTTACCTGTTTCTTTTGGCCACACCGTCATCTTGGTAATTTGCGACCGGCTCAACAAGTTTTGTCATTTCATCGCTCTTCCAACCAAGTTCACTGCCAAGGACTTGGCCTTACGATTCTCGGTCGAAATTTGTCGGCTTCATGGAATTCCTCGCACCATTATTTCTGATCGAGACCCCATCTTCCTCAGCACTTTTTGGAAAGAATTATTTCATGCGCAGGGCACCACCTTGAAATACAGCACAACTTATCATCTTGAAACTAAAGGACAAACTGAAGTAGTTAACCATTGTTTGGAAACCTATTTGCATTTCTTTATAAGTGAACAACCAAAAAAATGGTTTCAGTACTTATATTTAGCAGAACTCTGGCATAACACCCCGCTTCACAGCTCCATCAACATGTCTCCTTTTGAAGCTCTTTACGATAGACCTCCACCATCCTTTCCCCACTATGACCCAGGTTCATCTTCTCTTGACACAGTTGATACTTCCCTGCAAAACCGAGATGAAGTTATTAACATTTTGAAAAGAAATCTTGCAAAAAGTAGAGCTTACATGGAAACCCAGAGCAACAAAAAACGCTCACACATAACTTTTGCTGAAGGAGACTTCGTATTGCTTCGTTTCCAGCCGTACCGACAGAACTCCATCCAAAAATGAGTCTCTAACAAACTGGCCAAACGTTTCTTTGGACCGTTCAAAGTACTTAGAAAAGTTGGAAAAGTCGCCTACCACTTAGATCTGCCTGTTTCGTCACACATCCACCCTGTTTTCCATGTTTCACAACTCTGTGCCTTCCATGGTAAAGACCCAGTTTCACAGTTTCAACCACTTGCACCAGATGAAGCCGTTTCTACTGATGAAGCTCCACAGGTGGTTAGATCATCACTGCATGCAAGAGATCCTCCAACGGGAGAAAATGTCACTGTGGACGAAACAACAAGTAAAACCAAGGAAGGAGAAGCAAGTCAGTTGAAAGAAGAAAGAGATAAAATAAAAGAAAGTGAGAAGGAAACTAGAAGTTACACGGATGAATGTGAAACCAAGAGTGATAAACTCAAGCGCAGTTCAGCTACCACTTCCCAACACCTACCACTCATTAAGCCTCTGACCACTTCACGGGTCTCCAAGCGCCAACCTTCTTTTCCCTATACCACTTGCCCTTTCCCAGATCCACGTGTCACTTCACACCCATGCGAACCGCCATCTGCCCCACTTCCTACACAAGTGGATAATGAGCTGGTTCCCACTTCCACGGTTTCCAACCTTTAAAAGTGCCCTTCACTTGCTAACACGGCTAGGCCTCATTCGTGGGCCAAAGCTTTCTCAAAAGGGCCAAAAAACTCTTTCAACAATAACCTTGAGGATAAGGTTTTAAGTGGGCCGGATAGTAATGATAACAAGCCCATTAGAAACAGAAATCAACCTATTTGGATGAAGGATTTCTACACCAATTAATTTAAAAATATTGCTTTAATTATGTTGTTTTATGGGCTGGCCCATTTAGAATTAGTAGTAGGTCCAGCTTATTTTATATTTAAGCATTATTGTATGGTTTGAGTTAGACATGAAGAAAAAGTTAGTTTTTCCTTTTTTTTTATCTTCCCTTTCTATTCCTTATTTTAGTAACCCTAAATCTTAGAGAATATATTTGTGGAATTCTTTTTATCATTTTGTAACTCAAATCTCTGATAAATTTGCTTTTTGTCACTGTTAACCTTATTTGCATTTAGGATCTGTTATTTTACACATTTCTTAGTTCCATTTGCAGCACTACAAATTAACCTTTTTCATGTGTCATCAATGGCAATATGTATTTTCCCATAGCCACGTTCTTTTTTCTTTTCCACAACAATCCAAACATTTGTCCTTCATATACTTTATTTATATGAACTACTAATAATGTTTAATATCTCCAATCTCAGCATTCTACAAAACCATAATATTTAGTAAATACCATAATTTCATACATTGATTAAAACAAAAGGCGTTTTTCATCTGAGTCAAACTACTAAGTGACGTTTCCTAAACATAGTTATACATGCCAACACGTTTCATACACAACTACCATCAACGTACTATAATACAACCACAAAAAGCAGCCCACAAAATAACATCTAAACATCACTAACATCATTCATCCAACCATAACCAAACCAACTACAAGCATCTATTTAACACGACAACATAAAGCCGATGACCGGATTTTGTTATGCTGAACCCGAGCTTATCACCCCTACGCGGCTGCCTATGCTTCGCAAACTGATACCAACCCTTGCTGATGAACTTCTCAGTTTTCACAATTTTTTTGTTACACCGAGCAGAATGAACCTTCGCATGGTACAGTCTGTCGGAGTTCGCATCAACCAACTCAATATCCTTTTGGTTCCACCCTAAGCAAGTCTTGGTAATACTTTTCGGGAAGTGTTGTAACATTGGTAACAAAACTGTTAGAGATGTGTGTTTAATCCCTATCCTACACCAAATTACACATTCATTCTAAATTCAAACTTACCATTGTTCATCACTTTGTATCCATAGCTAATGTCTCTTTCCCAATAAACTTCTTCCTAGGATTCTTCATCAACCGACTCCTCCTTATCTTCATCAACTTCAGTTGGGTTTCCATTAACAACTTCTCTGACAGTCACCGGTGCTTCCTCAGGATCGGTCACTTTCGTTTCGTCATGCATGCTTTGATTTCCTCCCTCTAAATCTGCCATTTTAGCGGTCCTGTATATGTAGAATATGAAAATGTTAAGAAAACCGAAACTACAATTTGAGAAAATAGTAGATTCATCCACTGGCATTTAAGCAAGCATTTCATACAAAACTTTCTTCACAAAATTGATTTCACGACACCATCAACAAGGTTAACAGATCCCACAAAAAACACACAAATACATATAACTATATCCAAAATCGACATCAATCACCATTATGTCAAACATCACAACTACACAGCATAATGACCTTATTTTATATTACATTAAACAAGTTTTACTTGCTCCCAAACTACACATTTTACACTAAATAAAAATTGTTCTTGCAAACTACAAATAATTGTATAACATATTAAACCATATCGATGTTTACATTTTTCGTATTAATTAAAGACTACTTTACCTTCCAGTTTTTGGGACTGACAAATCAACATCTTCAGCAACACTACGACCATTGCATTCCCTTAAAACCACATGACGTACACAGTACGAAGGTTTCAGTAGAGATCCGTCCGGGTAAGTCCAAAGCCTTTGCATGTCTCCGATTTAGTGTTAGTAATGGATTCATGTGTTCACTCCTTTGACAACGTATGCAGATCTTATCAGAAATGGCTGAGAGAAAAAGAAATCATTGATCAGAAGCTCCGTATGTTGGTTGCGGAAGCGTCGGGAAGCATGACGGATCTTCCAAAACGGATGGGAGGGGTAAAAACTGAAGAAGTCGTTGATTTGACCAATGAGGAGGTTGTTGTCCATGGTAACAGAGCGGAAAGTAAAATAGTTGTTGACATGCATTTAGTTTGAAAGACATGAAACAAAAGTAAAAAAAATCATCTAGTACAAAGCTGTGGAATTGATTCATGTTGAATATTTAAAGCGAAAATTTGACTCATTTTTCCATTCAGTTGTAACTACTATACATTCAAATGTTCCATGTAACCTTTCAATGTTCACTTATTTTACACCTTTTGCATTCATAACATTCTCTTTGCAATTTGTAAAGTATTCATTGGACATGTGTATGGCAAATACACATGCACTACTATTTAAAGTCTATTTTCTCAAAAATATCAGATACAACTTTAATATTTCTTGACCACTATGCAGTATTATTTTTTAATTCTTTGATTTGTTTTTTTTTATTTTTGTTATTTTTATGATATCTCTCTCTCTCTCTCTCTCTCTCTCTCTCTCTCTTTCTCTCTCTCTCTCTCTCTCTCTCTCTCTCTCTCTCTCTCTATATATATATATATATATATATATATATATATATATATATATATATATTTAAATATATATATATATATATATATATATATATATATATATATATATATATATATATATATATATATATATATATATATATATATATATATATATATATATATATATATATATATATATATATATATATATATATATATATATATATATATATATATATATATATATATATATATATATATATATATATATATATATATATATATATATATATATATATATATATATATATATATATATATCAATTCCACATTTGTAGTAAATATTGTATCAAGTTTTTATTAAAAGCAAACATCATATCTCTTTGATCAATTTTTACTATTTCAAAATTTTAAAATAAAAAAAAATCAACTACACGTTTAATATCTCTATATATGCACCTATGTTTTCAATTATTTGAATTTTTTAATTTTTTTTTTTTTGTTTTTTATGTTTTACATTTTTTTTTCTCCAAATTTTAATATACATTTCTTTTTCAATTCCACTTTCGTATAAAATATGGTATACAGTTTTTTTAAAACCATACATAGCAATTTAATTCATTCTCCGATAACTATTTTTTTACCATATTCTTTCATCACTTTTATTTCTTTAGACTATTAGATTTTTACATTTGATTATCCAATTCAAAATCCTTTTAATAAAATATTTTTTTTCAACTAGTATTTTAAAGCATTCGTGAGTTAAAATTAACAGTTAGACATATTCAATTTATGTCCAAAAAATAAAAAAATCTCATAGTAAATTATCTGTCACCGTCGAATATAAATTATTTGTACATTTTAAAACAAACTCATTATTAGTATATGTGATTACATTTTTTGTGCGTGTCATAATAAAAACAACAAAAACTTGTATATTATTTATGTTTGACATTAATTTATTATTTTAATTTGATCTTCCAAGACACCCAAATGAGTTCTATAACTACTCAATGTACTCATCTATGTTGTCATCATCTCTTCCTCATTTTTTTAGTTTCTGATTTCGTCTTCATTCTTGTTCGAATCCAACTTATTTTTCTCCTTAGTTTCTCGCTTATCCCAACGAAACATTTGATTGTTGACCTCAATATGTCAACGATAACTTTGCAATTAGTTCTGATCTCAATGCTTTTGTCCTCCATCTTCTTCACTAGCTCGATAACTTTAAGGTTTGCCTTACTTTCACGTGCGATCAGGTCTCTATACCCTTTCATATTTTAATTTGTTTGAAATTTTGTTTTTAAGGGGATAAATGTTGGACCACAGAGACCGACACATATTGAGGACCAAATTTAAAAAAAAAATTCTTACATTATTTATATAATATATTTAAGTTAAAAATAAAATTTTAAATTAACTATTTTCCTTTCTTTCACTTTTCTCTCTCACAATTTCAAGTTTTTTTCTCCTTCTCAAACTTCACCACCTCTTTTGTTTTTCTCTTCCTCCCTTTCATGTTTATTAATTTTTCATTTTTTTCTCTAATTTTCTCACTTGATTTGACTGCATTTATTTATAAGTGATTGAAATCCGAGGTAAACTGAGTATCTCAATATTTGTTTATTCTTTTCTCATTTTTGAGATGAATCCTAAAATTCCAACTTGTTAAAAAAATTCAATTATCTCAAATTTTCATAAATAGGTTCCTTTATAATCAATTGCTTTCACTGTTCTTTTTATAGTATGATTAACTATTTTAACTGGCTTTATTGTTCTCTTTAGAGGACGAAGAAATTCTTTCTTGTGCTTTCTAGCGACAAAGTTACTAATTTAGAAGCATCAAAAACTCAACATACAAGTGAGAGTATTAAAGTTGTTCATTATGAGTTGTTGGAAATAAATCCAGGAATTAGGCCTCAAATTTTAAGATATCATATTGACATCCAAACTGAAGTAAGGAAAAATTATTTAAAAATAAGTCTTCATCAACCTACTCATAATTTCATTTACTCTTAGTTTGTCCAATGTAAACAAAGACGTCGATTTTTCAAAAATTGATTTAATTTGTATGACTGAATTTATCATAGTGAATCTAAGGACCTATCATTTTATCTGCCATGTTTTTTGCTTAAAAATATCTATAAATACGATGGATTGCTATGTGGGAGAACATTTTGGTGATTGGAAGAATGTTCACAGATTGGCTAATAATGTTACTTCTTTCAATAGACATGTTGATTGTGTTCATATGCCTTATGCCCTCATCGTCATTTGCAGCTTTTGATGTGAAAAAATTATTGATAAAAGTTGAACTTTATCCAAATGATTTTGTAGATATGTCAGAAGTGGTGGTGCGACATCAACTTCGAAATTATATTAGAAATGTTCGATGTGACCCAAAATTTGTAAAGTTAAAAGGAATTCATATCTTTGTGTAAAACTTGTGGAAAAAAATAAGTGAACGTATTTGATATTGTTTATAAGCTTCTGAAGTTGGTTTTAATGTTATTGGTAGCAACTGCAAGTATGAAATGTGTTTTTTCAACTATGAAGTTTGTGAAGAGTTGGTTATGCAACAAAATGAGTGATTAATGGTTAAATGATCATCTTGTAACTTCATAGAAAGAGATGTTCTTTGAACAACTAACAACGATGTTATTTCAACTCAATTAAAAAATGGATAATAGATGATTTCATTGTAAATGTAATGTATTAAACAATATTATTTCTTATTTTTAATATAATTTAGTTCATACTTTCATTCATGTTTAGCCACATCAATATGTAATGTTTGGATCCTCCCCTGTTGGACCATATGTCTAAACAATGTGTTCAACATCTTAAATGAGAATTGACAGATAATAGAAAGCAAGGTAATAAACCATAAAGCAATTAAATAACACAAGAGAATTGGTAACTAAATTTGGTGCAACGTCACCTACGTCTGGGGGGCTTCCAACACAAGAAAGAAAATCCACTATAAATAGAATTAGTGCAAAGCGTCTTAGATGAACAACCTTTGTTCAGTGCCCCTTTTCTTAACTCTACATGTGTATTTCTATTTAGGACTCCTCCTAAATATGAGACCCCTCTCACTTTCTCTTAACCACCAACCCTAGTGATCAATACAATAATCAGAATATTGATTATTGAATTATAACTTAACTAATAAACTAATATCTATACCTTTAGATATAAATGCATGTGCTAGAGTGTTGCACAAATAATAACACAAACAAATGACTCAAAATAGAAATCCTAACACAAAGATTCTTCAATACTTGCGCACACTTCAAACATTAGGTTTTAGTCTCCTTAAATAGCAATGCAACTTCTGGGCTTTTCTCCAATGGGCATAAGATTTGAGATCATGTCCAGATTTGTAAAGGATTATACTTTTATTTGTTTTAAAAAGCTCAAACAAAAAGATTTGTTTTATTTTGATTCAAATTTAAATCTATGAATAATTAGATTTGATCTTATTAAATCTACCAAACAAATT